TCTTTTATTTGATTCCCTTATAGTTATTCTACATTGCACTAAATTTTATAAAGAAAATTTAAAATTAATCTTCTATTTCAAATTTCAAAGTTCTTTTAAAAAAATCCTGACGCCACACAGTGGTTGGAGAAACCATGTTTTACGCGAAAAGGGCATATTTAACACTGTGATAAATTAACCGGAATAAAGCTATCCTTATTCAGAAATGTCCAAAGAACTCAAAACTGATTAGTACTTTCAATAATATCTGTTGAGAAAGCCGTTGAATCCACTTAATTCAACGGATTCTATAATGGCACGTTCTAACAGTTATGAGTTGATAAATGTCTTAACAATTTTTATATGGAAACTTCAATTTTAACAGTAATTGCTGCTTTGGTCTTACTTCTTAAACATGGAAAATAATGGTTTCATATGAAATATGTAATACATAATAAATTTCGGTTGCTAAATTATCAACACCTTAATAACACGGCTTATTTTTCAATAAATATTTTCTTCAAAAAGGTTTAACCAATTTGTAGGGCCGAGTAGGATCTTCATTCCTTTAGCAAAAACCAATGCAAAGGCCTCTTTAAGGATCTATGAAAAGTGGCGGCCATTTTTATTTCCAAATAACATAAAGTGTATTAAAATATTAAAAATTAAAGTAATTTATTTTATATTTAGCATCATATCATTTATAAGATGTGTCTTAACAAAGCTGAAGTAAGTTTTCAAAAATCCAATAACGAATCTAATATGGCTTCCAAGAATTAAAAAATTACTGAATTTTCATGAAATTTGGTGTTTAGAGGTTCTTAAGTTCGCTCATTACAAATTTTAAACTAGTTTTCGAAAATTCAAAATGCAAATCCAACATGGCGTCCGAAATTTCTAAAAATTCATACCTGAAGAACTTTATTTAAAAATGAGAAAACTGAAGTTTTGGAAATGACGAGTTTCGGAAAAAATAAAAAAAATCTTTAAAAAAAACTGTTGGGGCCTAGATCAAACTGTTTGGACTGTGCTATAGCAGGCGGTCCCAACTATCCCTAATTTAGAAATATAATTACTGTCTCTATTTGATAATTTGATCACAAATTCATTTTAGATTTGCTTAACAAACATTTTGTATTACTCAATTGAAAATGACAGTTGACTTGACAGTTGTCAACCGAAAAAGTTTGAATGTGATACATAACTAGAGATCAGTGAGCCTTGAAACATAGTACGTTTAATTCGTGGGAAATTGTCCTTATTTATAAAGAAATTGACAGCCCCTTCGACAATTCTTAAGGTTTTAATTTGATACGCAATTCGTGATTAGCATGTCTAAAAACCTATTCAGTGGCATTTTGATAAAGATAAAGATTTTTAGAAAAATTCATAGTTCATTCGACAGCTGTCAACTGTCAGAGTTTTAATTTCACACACAATTCGTGATCAGCATGTCTAAAAATTTAACCAGTGGCATTTTATAAAATATTGTCTTATTTTTAGAAAAAATCACAGTCCATTTGACAGCTGTCAACTTTCAGAATTTTAATTTAACAGCAAATTCATGATCAGCATGCCTAAAAACCTAATCAGTGGCATTTTAAAAAATATTGTCTTATTTTTAGAAAAATTCACAGTCCATTTGACAGCAGTCAATTGTCAAGGTTTTAATTTGACATGAAATTCGTGATCAGCATGTCAAAAACGTAATCAGCGGTATTTTCAAAAAGATTTTCTTGATTTTAGAGGAATCGGCAGTTGATTTGACAGCTCTCAACTGTCAAACTGTAAATTTTATGGCATATTCGGATTTAGCATTACAACAATCCTAGGATCCCGCAGTTTTATTATAATCGCTTTCCAATTTTTTGCGTAAAACATGGCTTCTCCGACCACTGTGCGCCAGGGAGAAAAACTAAAGCGACGTTTTATTACTTTGGTCCCTAGTTTCGCGAATGTATATATTGTTTTTTTTTATACCCGAGCGCACTTGTGCACAACTCGAGCAAAAATTGAGATATGTCAACGAAATTTGGTAAGTCAGCTGCCCTTTATCGAAGGTGGGTTGGGATTGAAAATGGGTAAAATCGGCCAATAACCACGCCCACCTCCCATATAACGGGTTTTTCGAAATATGCAAAAACTAAGATATTTCCGCAAATACATGATCCAAATTGTTGAAACTTGGTATTTGGAGTAGAATTTTGGCGTAAAAGAAGAAACCCGTTGAAAATTTTTTAAATCAGACAAGAACCACGCCCACTTCCCATATAACGGTAAATTACAGATATTCGAAAACTGCGATAAATTAGTAACTATTTAAGCTAATTTACTCAAAATCGATATATGCAATGACCTCTTAGCATAAACTGTGGGCGTGGCACCGCCCACTTACGCCTACAAAGGTGTATCTCGGTATCCGATTTATCAATTTCTACCAAAATCGGCACATTTAGCAACCTTGGCGCGAAAAAGTAATATATTGAAAATTTTTTAAATCGGACTTAAATTACTGCCACTTACCATATAACGGTAAATTTCAGAAATACGAAAACTCCGATCTTTCAATAACTAAAGATGCCAACATACAACAATCTTTTAATAAGACACAAGATTATTGATTTTTGTTAAATGGGCGTGGCACCATCCACTTATGACTACATAAGTATATATCGATAACTAAATTATTTCAATATATCATAGCATATTATTAAAACTGTTTTACATCGAGATAAATACTCTTCCTTATCATGCAGTTTACTAAAAGGTGAAAAAACGATATTTAATACGTGCGCCGGGTATATAAAGTTCGGTTTCATTCGAACTTATACTTCACTTGTTTGTGTGTAAATCTAACCTACGCACGATTCATATTGTTCATTAACTTCCATAAGTAATCCAAAATAATAAAAAATCGAGTTACATACATACATTTCAATAGGCACATTATTTTTCTTCAAGAACCAGCCCCATGTATGTGTATATTTACTTATAGTCATCAGAGATGCTTTGTTTTAGAGGCATTTTGAAGAATGCTTGATTTTAAAGAAAAGTGAATAAAATGAAGAATTTGACTAGGCTACCCTAGTTTTTATGCGGCTTTTAATCAAACCATACGAAAAATGTGCATATTTTTTGAATAACTTGAATAGGCCTTAACATAACATATTAATTTCACTATTTAATACTATTGGTATTGGTTAGTACCTAACTCCTGGAATTATTGGAATAAACCTTGTTGGGGTGACTGTTCTTGATGAGGTCGCTTGAATAATTCAAGGATAGCTCTCTTTTATCCACGAAAGGAAAAACTGTTAACCATAAAATCGATTGTCTGACTCATAGACTTAGCAAACCAAGCAACTTACAAAATTTTAAATACCTCTAGGTCCGTTAAACGGAGTACCCGGTGCAATATATATCTTTGAAATTAGAAATTTTGATTCAGTTACTCCGAAACACTAAATCACTCTACCGGGCTAACGGTCCCTTTGATTAAGAAACTTCAATCAAAAATATTGTCTTTTACTTGTGCATAACTATGGACGCACTATTTAGGCGCGCGTATCAAGTTTGTTAAGCAAGCTGATTTATAGACAACGATTAATTATTAACATCTCCTTAGTTTAATTGATAATGTAACTCGACAGGTAAGGAACAGACATCCGAAAGGTTAAAGTTTAGCATTTCGCAATGATAACATCGAAATTCGCGAAATAATTCGAAGTTGGACGCAATTGGCAAAAGTAGTGCAAAGGTTATCGAACAAAAGCGGTAAATCTGCCATGGACGTAGAATTTTTTAAATTTCAACTAACTCATTGAAAACTGTATTACAGAAATCAGAAAGAATTACACACAGCCTACTCCACCGAACAATAAATCGAGCTCTGAACGAATCTTAAGACATTTGTGAAAAAAAATAACTGAAAAACGTTTAAACATTATTACCCCTGGATAAGGAGCCCCGAGTGCGGCAGATACGAAGATATGCCTGTACTGCCTACAAAATTCCTCAGTGTCTACAATTTTATAAGTTCCATTATGATTTTTTTGTAATGTCATGATTTATAGGATGCTGCAGTGGTAGATTAAATTTTGAGAGAAATGGACGCAAAACGTGAGCTTGTGCTAGAACGCCATTTAGCGGGTGACCAAACTAGTGCAATCGTAAAATCATTCTTCAAAATGGGAGTAAGGGGAAGATTCTCCGACGGCTACGAGAAAAAATATATATTTGGTTCTTGAAATTAAATAACAAAGTGCTACAAAAGAGAATGAAATAAAAATATTTGGGAAGTGATGTTTCTCGCAGGGCTTGTCGAGTAAACAAGAATCGTAATACAGGCTTTTAGTGCGTGAAGTTACGCAAAATCGGGTTTTCAACCGTGAGTCAAGATTTTGGAGTGCTTGGCAAGTGTCATATTTCGATTCTCGTTTTATTCGACAAGACCTATTAGAAAAATAACATCACTTTTCAGGTATATTGGAGTTCGCACAGTACGTCTCAACAACTAACCATCAAATCGTGCATATTCTTCTGACTGGAAATAGGGATATTAAATAATTAGGTAATGTTACTAAATCGAATAATAGAGTTACAGTTTAAAGCATAGAAAATATGAAAAGAAAGTGGAGATTTTCGAAAATGAATTGGTAAATAACATTAACATTTGATGCATGTAAAAGGCGTTGGCATTATATTTCCATCTACCTACATAAAATTCTTTTGAATAATAGCTCGCAATCTGTCATAAACCAAAAAGCAAGAAAACCCTCACCAAGCATAATCGTTTGCAACTACTCATATGGTGTACAGAAAACTTTCAAAGTTGCGAATTTTAACGAGACGATAATTTCATTAAAAATTTTGTATGGTTGTCAACTTGCTTAGTTAATGCTTAAATTGCTTTGTTTCTGTGTAATTCGAAAGGTTTACTTATGCAACTCATTAAAGATCCCGTATATGTACTATTATTTATCAAATGATTAATATTTTTACTATTTCCAAAAAATTTTTAGGGTAAATTCAGTTCCTGTACAGATGGATCAAAAATGACTAGAGAAGACTGCTTGTAAGTAACCAAACCAAAAATGTTTCTCTCAACACGTGATTTGGTTATAGTTCCACGATTTGCTTACAGTTACCAAATCCTCTGTTGAGAGAAATATATTAAACAGACTTTTTTCTAACTGCATGTATTTATATCCGTTATATTCTGTTGCGAAGTTCCAACCATTTTTCTTACCATAAAACTAAAAGTTAAAAGGATAACTCAAAAATATTTGTAGTCAAATATCTACTGGGGAATCTGCGCTCCAAAATTTTTGCCCGAATTAAACTGTAAAAGTAAGTACATATCGCTGGCTTAGAGTGAAAAGTTGCTAAGTCACAATTTAAAAATTTTACAGTAGAAGAAAAAACTTCTTATAGCCATTTTCTTTAAGTATTTCGTAAAACTTTGAATACAACATTTTGCCTGTTTAAAGCAAAGCTAAACTCCATACGAATCAGGGGGTTCGATCTTTATCAAAAGATTTCGTACTATTTTGGCCTTGTCGAATTTTCGGAGCTTCTATTGGACTTAGTCAAATATCCTTTCATTGAATATTAGCGAGAAAACAAAAAACAAGGACTGTCATCATTTCGAAACGATACATTTTTAATTTCTCTAGCCTCCTGTATCAAAATATGAGTTTTCATAAGAAGTGGACTTAGCATCTTTTCACTCTAAGCTAGCGATATGTTTCACGTGGACTTCGAGGCATTGCAGAATACATTCCAAATAACTTTTTATACATGAGGCCCAATGTCTTATATGAACTCGCGTTCTACTATGCACTATCAAGAACACCTAAAAGAAGGGAAATTGTACACGACACTCTATAGCAAAGTTATTTAGAACACATTACCACTAAAAGTGATTCCAGATTTTTTTCTGGGCAGAAGAAGATAGGGATTTGTTTATTGACTTTTCATGTATTTTTTATAGTTTGCTCGCACCTCAGTTAAAAAGAGTTTGCCAAACCCCCAGTTGCGGCTAGTTATTATTATTGACTCCCTGTTATATGCATGGAGTCAGAACGTCGATAACGATGTTTAACCGGGGATTTAGTGTTACCCAGAGATGCCCTTAGTGAGTAATATCGATGTTTCAATTAGAGATGGGCGCGTGAGTAATTTTGGCTCACGTTCACGCACGCTCACGTTGATGGTTTTGTAAATCATGCACACACACGTCCTGCTATATTTTTTCAATCACGTTCACGCACGCTCAAGACGCCTATTTTTTCAATCACGCACGCTCACGAACGGTTTCTCAAGGACATTTTTTTGTAAATTGAAACTTTATTTATATAAATAGCATTTCATATAAATAGGCTTTTATCACACAAGTATTATTACATGAGCGAGTATAAATTTGTATACATTTTGTTTATACAAATTTATACACTTTGCTTATAGTTATGTGGTATATCTTTCTAGGCTCCGTATTTTGCATATAAAAACTCACTCTAATTATTACAAAAGCTTGGCCAAACGCTTAACAAGGGCTGAAGGCACTATTATTATTTTAACAAATTTCAGATATACTTATGTATCTTATACGAGTATAAAAAAGAATTGGTATCAATATTCATTCCTCCAGAATTCTGCCTGACACAGAAAAAACTCTTTCACTAGTTGCTGAGCTAGCTGGTATGTTTAAAATTTGCCTTGAAATACTTCTAAGAAGTGGTAAATCTTTGGCTTTCTCCCAAAATTATAAAACATCGTCACAACTTTTGTTTTCTGATTTTTTCAAATAAATCTGTATTCCCGTATTTACTTTTTCGAATCTGTTTCTGCAGATTCATATATTTCTACCTAAGTTATCTTCAAGCACTGCCTTTACTGTTCCTATTATATGTTCGCGCTGTTCTGCAGATAAAAACTGTAACTTTTTAAACGGAGGATTTAAAACCAATCTCAGAAATTGGACTGAACGTGGTTGGAATCTTTTATTTAAAGCAACAGCTGTGTTTTTCTTCAAAAATCGATAATGACTTCAGAATCAGATGCATTCGCCTAACAATGCTTTTGTAGTTTTTTGTACCACAGATCGTACTCATGGACGGTTGGATTTAAATCCGGGCTCTTATTTTCAAAACACATCTTGAAAGGGGCCAGAAATTCTAAAAATTATAGCTTGAAAAATACTGTAAATATTAAAAACTGAACACAATTCATCCATTTTTGACCGCCACTGTACATACATATGTAAAAATTACGTAATTGACGGAAATCTAACTCACGCACACTCACGCCCGTAAAAATTTCAGTCACGCACGATCACGAATATTACGTGATTTTTCACTGAAAGCCACTCATGCTTACGCGTGAAAAAGTGTGACACGACGTGTCACGTAGAAAATCACGTATTTTGCCCATTCTAGTTTCAATACATCGAATACATACATATTTACATGCATAAGTACATTCATATACATATACCAATATAGTTTTGGTTTCATAGCTATTATAGCCACCGTCTCCATGTGACTAGAGGTGCCACGTATGATTTTTAAATTTAAATATAACAAGTATATATATATATATATATACATATTCGATGATCCATTATCAGATTAGTACGGGACCACCTCTGAGATACTACCTTTCCGATGCACAAAGAATTATCAAAATCGGTTGACGTGGTCCAAAGTTATGCGGTAACATACATAAAAAAGAATATATATATTGCGACAAACTGATNGTAAATCTTTGGCTTTCTCCCAAAATTATAAAACATCGTCACAACTTTTGTTTTCTGATTTTTTCAAATAAATCTGTATTCCCGTATTTACTTTTTCGAATCTGTTTCTGCAGATTCATATATTTCTACCTAAGTTATCTTCAAGCACTGCCTTTACTGTTCCTATTATATGTTCGCGCTGTTCTGCAGATAAAAACTGTAACTTTTTAAACGGAGGATTTAAAACCAATCTCAGAAATTGGACTGAACGTGGTTGGAATCTTTTATTTAAAGCAACAGCTGTGTTTTTCTTCAAAAATCGATAATGACTTCAGAATCAGATGCATTCGCCTAACAATGCTTTTGTAGTTTTTTGTACCACAGATCGTACTCATGGACGGTTGGATTTAAATCCGGGCTCTTATTTTCAAAACACATCTTGAAAGGGGCCAGAAATTCTAAAAATTATAGCTTGAAAAATACTGTAAATATTAAAAACTGAACACAATTCATCCATTTTTGACCGCCACTGTACATACATATGTAAAAATTACGTAATTGACGGAAATCTAACTCACGCACACTCACGCCCGTAAAAATTTCAGTCACGCACGATCACGAATATTACGTGATTTTTCACTGAAAGCCACTCATGCTTACGCGTGAAAAAGTGTGACACGACGTGTCACGTAGAAAATCACGTATTTTGCCCATTCTAGTTTCAATACATCGAATACATACATATTTACATGCATAAGTACATTCATATACATATACCAATATAGTTTTGGTTTCATAGCTATTATAGCCACCGTCTCCATGTGACTAGAGGTGCCACGTATGATTTTTAAATTTAAATATAACAAGTATATATATATATATATATATACATATTCGATGATCCATTATCAGATTAGTACGGGACCACCTCTGAGATACTACCTTTCCGATGCACAAAGAATTATCAAAATCGGTTGACGTGGTCCAAAGTTATGCGGTAACATACATAAAAAAGAATATATATATTGCGACAAACTGATAACCTCTCCTAACGGACACCTCTATTAGACGGACATCTCCCTTGGGCGGACATTTTTTCCTATACCAAGTTTTAAGTATAAATTTCGGAACAAATTACTTTCTCTTAAGCGGACACTCTCTTGGCCGGACGCGGACAGTTATTTTACATAAAATTGACACAAAAACCTCTATCGAGCGGCCGCGAACCTCTTATCAACATTAAGATTTCTTTTCATAACAAATCAATTAAAAACCTCCGTTGAGCGGATGCGAACTCCTCATAGGCGGACTACTAAATGGAAAAGGGGGACTTCCCGCATAAAATGTGATTTTTATGGACACATTTAGTTTGGTTTGGGCAGTGGATTAGGTTCGTTATTTGAATTATCAGAAACCCTTGGGAATCCATCCTTCTTTGCACGAAAAACTTGTGCGCTTAACCGAAAAAAGCACTNGCACTTACCACGTAGAAATTACTGCAAGAGAAATTTTTTCCGAATGGTATCTAATTATCTATATAACTACATAAAATAATTGCCGTTTTCGTTGTTCTGCGAGATGAGCAAAATAAATAATAGCTTGTAAAATTAGGGTAAGTGTAGAGCCAGGTAAACGTAATACTTTCTTTGATAATTGATAATAGTTGCAAATTTTTAAGGCAGGTATCGCTAATGTGCAGGTATGTTGAATGCAAGTATCGGAGCAGTTTCCTTATAAATATTAAAAATAATGCCGCTGATGCGCATTTTGGGGTAGGTACCTTAAATGTGCACTTAAGCACAAAGGCAGCAAAGAAAAATATACTGTATAACAATAGATATAATAAATACATGGATCGAAAATTTAGATTTCTGGTTGGATTTTCTTACTGCTAAAAACATGAAAACTATTGAGGAAACAGGTACTGACACTGAAAAAAATTAAAAATAAAACTTACGTCAATCGACAATCTCCCAGTTTTTTATGTAATGAATCTATGGTTTTATGTAGTTTATAGACTGAAATATAATATTTATTTTTATTTTGTTATTACTTAATATGTACTTACGCACATAAATGAAATAAGCACTTTTGAAAAAATACATGCAAATTTTTGTTTGAACCATGTAATATCAATATCTTTTATTCAAATAAGAAATAGAAACAAAAATGTGCCTGTATTTTTTCAAAAGTGCTTATTTCATTTATGTGCGTAAGTACATATTAATTAATAACAAAATAAAAATAAATAAAATACATTTCAGTCCATAAAGTTCATAAAACCATAGATTCATCACATAAAAAACTGANAATTTTTGTTTGAACCATGTAATATCAAT